CGAAACTACTAAAACTCGGCTCGGCTATATTGAGAAATAGAACATAAAACAGAGGAAAGAGGGGGAAGAGAGGGGCAGGGAAGGTGGAAAAGGCCTTGAGGTGACGAGGGAGGAAGGAAGAGACGGGATTGTTGACTGGAAAGGAGCTGAGATCTTGCCTGAAGGTAAGAACTGAAAATGAGGGGGAGGCCGTTTTACGGGGAAGGAAGGTCATAAGGGTTTTTTATGCTCATGATTAAAATTTGATGTTGGGAGGAAGTTAGTAAACTTGAACACGGGTTCGAATGCAGGCAGCGGAAAGGACAGGTATACAAAAATACCGGAACAGAGAAAAGACGGGGAGGGAGAGAGGGGCAGAGAAGGTGGAAGAGGCTTATCAGCTTTACCTCAGCATCCAGCTTGCTTAGCATCAAGAAACTGTACAGTCGCCCGCCCCTTGTTCAAAATCCCTACATCCAGTCAGGAACATGCTCAGAAAGTTACAGCACTCCAGCTGCTCTGGTTGCAGAGTTACGTAAAATTTCACATGGTCGTACTCGAAACGTATGTAAGGCGTGAGAGGAATGTGAAAGTTGTTTTAACGTATACTTGTCCAATGATGATCGATAATGTTAAAATTATTCGTTTGCATTAAATGACCTCTCTTCTTTCCCCTTCGTCATGTCCCCTCCTTCCCACTCCCTCCCACCCTTCTTGAGATTTAAAACGCTACCCTACGTTTATACTTGTCTACCTTTCCTTCATCTGTTAGTTCTTGGAACTCGCTATCGATTCGGCTGAGTCATACATAAGTCGCAGCAGCAGTACCGTATTTCTTGGTGCCACAGTTTCAAAAGCTTAATCAAAATTCCTAGAATACACGGAAAAGCTGCTAGTTCTCATACGGTGGTTCTTCATTTAAGGAGCCAGCTGACCACTGGGTCTATCTAAGTGGTCACAAGCCGATGTAGCACTGGTCAAAGCAAAAGGGGAAATTGCTAGCTACATAGATATAGAAGCAAATATTCTAAGTTTAAACAATAGAAATTTACCAAAACTTTATCCATTTCTTCAGCGCTCATCAACCGATCACCGTTTTCGTCGAAAAGCGGTTTTTGTATCCTGGAAAAATGTGCAACTTTTTGGAATTTAAACAAAAATTTCCTGAACTAACACAAAAAAATATTCTCCGAAACGAATATTCGATTGGGCAAAAGAAATTCCCAAGCCTATTCCCCAAGGGCTCAAAAATGAGGGGTAAAATTGGGTGAAAAATGAAAATATTACAACCAGCATCTATGAGACAAAGAGCACTGTGACGGTATTGAGGAAGCAGCTCACCGAACGCATTTTGCGTTAGACCGGGAACCGATCAAAACTGCCATTCTCGATCAGGGAATGATCAGATTTTTACCAAGCTTAGGCATAGACGGGCCCAAGGGAGGGGGTGGGGGAAGGGAAAAGGGTCCCAGTGCTGCAAAAGCCCAAATCTGTTCATAAATAAAACTAAAGTAACTCTAAGTAGCACTGTGTTACAGTTTTACTCCTAGTTTTTGCATAGTCCCAGGACAGGAGGAGCTCTCTCCCCGCCTCCGTCACTTCCCCCCTCCCCCCTCCCTCCCCAAGGAGTCTGTTTAGGATCGCTTATGAGTCTAGAAGCCCTATAAGTATTGCTTTTTGAATACTCCAGTGCTCCTGGAGTATCAGCTTTAACTTCAGCTATTTTTTTCCGACGAAAGCCGAAATCAGATGGTTCGAAATGACTACTTCTTCCGTATAACAAATCCGTTAGACCTTCAGAGATTACGTGGTTATGAAAAACGGCAGGTACCATAACTCTTTGGTTCGATGTTCTAACAACTCTAGGACACGTTTTTTCCCGGTCATAACTACTGTACGTTACATTGAGACCAAGATGTTGAGTCTAAATATCGTATCTGTCGATGAACATATCGCAAAGCAGTCTGTGTTTCATCCCTTAGCTGTAAACAGAGAGAGAGCCAAATGTTTGTTACATAAAGATAAAGTGAAAGATAAATTTTGCTTTTATAGCTGTGCTAATGTATAGAATATCTTCCACAGCACTAGCCTTATTAAAATCGATGGGTTTGCGCAGAACGAACGATGACGGTAAATAGGGAAGACAAGACTATAATTATAATCCCTTAGAAACCATACAACGGAAGAGAGATTATCTTAAAGTACCAAAGTAACTTAAATCTGATATCCCTCTCTCAGATCAGTGTTTGAACGTTGTATCCGTAACACTACGTGATTAAGGGGCAAGCTACCAATCAAGTGGCAGAATCTATATGAACACCGGAAGCCCCGAACGAAACAGGCAGAAAAAGGAGAGTTTACCGGTACGGTGCAAGAAACTAATCTGAATGGCTATATGTACTTAAATCTTCATGATCCTACAAGCTCAAAACACAGGAAGCAGAAGTCTTGTGATGGAAGAATCCGCTTGAATGACTACAAGTCGCAGAACAACTTCTGGTATAAATACCTACATGGAATTGAGTTTCCTTGATACAGTAAGCTCAGAATCGATACAAACTCGCCAGAGTGCAGGACTGGAAGGATAAAACTGGACGCCAGCAACGAATTCTACGGGTAGCACAACGATCTACGAGAGATCTACTTTTGAAAGTCAAGCCTGGGCTGTGCCACCTCGATGCTGGAAAATCTTTTGAGATGTGCTAGCGTGATGGAAATTACAAACTGACCCCATCCAGCAACAGCATGAAGGAAAACGCCTAAATATCTACGAAGAGTTTTTTTTTTTTCCTCGATATGGACGTTTTTTTGCATCTATGCAATGCAAACAGTGCAACTGTTGCAGCACAAAAATGCACTTAATCGAGCGATTGTGTGTGTATTGCGTGTGTAACCCTATAATTACACCTATTTCCCTCCTCCTACTAAATCTTAACACTTCCACTTACTAACTTCTAACAATTCCACCAAATTCTAAATGATTCCATATTACCTACCTCCCCACTCGCTAACTAACTTGCCCTCCTTTTCCCTCCATGATGTGCCACTACTGCATTGGCTGCTTGGTGTGCTTTGCCAACTCTTTGCTTGTACAAGGTCGGCCACTGAAGCACGATCGTACTGCTGCAGTAGCTTCTGGTCGGCTTTCCATTCTTGAAGTGCTTGATGCAGGTGTACGGCATTTTTAATGCCGAACACTCCCCCGTCTCT